GTAATCTGTTGTTTTTTAATAGAATAAGCTGTCCTGCAGATGTAGCAGTTGTTGAGACAAGCCATTTACCATTGACAGGGGTGCTAACAATGAGCAGCTTTTATTTGTTTATTTATGTAAACATTTTATCCCAGAAGGAAACAACTGTTGTTGTAACTGATAGCTGGAGTTCATCTTCAATTTGTTACTGTATCTAAATCTGTTAGTACATCTAATACTCCCCTTCCCCCAAAATAACAATGCTACAGTCCAAAGGTGCCCCTGTGCTCCTTCATCCAGAGTGTGGGCACTCTAGTACAGGAGATTTACTGCTTTCCAGATAACCAGGTGAAAACAGAGGGAACAAAACATAAATAAAGAAGACTAATGCAGGCACCATGTTTAACGATTGGAAAACTGAATTATATGAAATTTTTGGATTTATTACAGCTTTACACTTGGCAGCTGAGGAGGTGGTAAAAACATGTAGTTATAGTGGAGCTCTACCTAAAAGGGGAAGTTCCGCTTTAAGGCCTCATCCCCCACTCCCTGTTAAGGACTTACACCTTTGGGGAGCAGGGGGGAGCGAGTACCCAATTTTAACAGGTACCCATTTCCACTTCCGCTGTTGTCCTTCCCATGGTCTTCTGGGACATGTGACAGATCCCAGAAGACTATGGAACCATTCACAAGCCGCAGTGCTACTTGCTCATGCACAGTGGGCACCCTTCTGTGAAGCCGCAAGCTGTGGAGAGAGAGGACGAACAGTAAAACTGGTACTTCCTGAAGATGATCTATTGGTCGAAATGCTTCAAGGGCTTATGATGCAACTTCCGCTGATGTCACTTCTGGTATTTGGAACACACGCTGGAACGTGGCGGCCATCTTAATTCCCCTTCATAATATACAAAGCTGAATACACCCAGTGCCAGGAAAGGCACTTTTTTGTGAGTGGCATTTTTATTTTTTGACCCCATATTAAAGTTCCATATGGTTTTACACTATGGGATGTCTGGTTAATTTATGCTGAAAATATGAAATACTGCCTGTGGAGGAGAGGAGTTTTCTAATATTGATGCAGTCCTAGTGGAAGGTTATCAGTTATTACCAGCAGCCACGGTTAAGAGGGTGAAGAAACGTTGGCCATCAGGACCATATTGCATACTGGGGTAGTCCCAAAAGCGAGTGTGACTTACCTAGAGATAGGTGGTCATGAAATGACTGTGAGTTTACATCTATGTGGGGCACCAATGTGAACACAATGAAGCACTTGTCATTTCAGTATGGAGGTTCACCGTTAAAGACACAGCACCATTGCACTAAATATTCACATGTTGGAACTGAATAATAATATTGTATTTGAATTTTGTTCATTGTTATCACTTTAATTTGCACATTGGATTTAGCTGATTTGTGACCTTTGTGACATTTGAAATATTTATGATTTTGTGTATAGGAGTTCACAATTAGGACTGCTGCTATATAGGTATCATATATATATAGTATAATTTTCATACATTTAAAATTTTTCCTAAGTGCAACAGCACCCCCTTTCTTTCAGTAAAACCGGATGCAGTGAAGAAACCGCTGGATCAAGAGATAGGTGAGTGTTTATTTTCAAAAGTCGGCAGCTACAGTTTTTTTAGATTTTGACGGAAGCTCCACTTTAATCCCCCTGGCGGTATTCCCGAGTGTAGCTCAGGGTTTACTTTCAGTACCAGAAGCGGTAACCCTGAGCTACACTCGGGATTACACTGCAGCGTTGCTCTGGGATCCCTCGAGCACTTACCTTGTCTTGCGGTCCCACGAAGTTCCCCCTGCAGCGTCCCCGGCCATGTCCTCCGGCCGATGCCAGCATCCGTCTTCCGGGTTCCGTTCCCTGCGAGCATTGGGACGTATGGGGGACGGAACCGGTGGGAGTTTCAAAAATTCAAAAATTTGACATTCAATCAATACACTAAAATCACATAGTATTACATTACTGTATCAAACCATTTCACATACATTTTGTCCCGAGTTCTTTGTCCTGTGCCCTGCCTGCATTTTTACCATTCTTTCTGCCTGGAAACTGAGAAATGTCCATGGCATCCAAAAGGCGGCCCTTTAGGTCAAAAGCGGGTTTAGATCAGCTAGAGAACAGCGATAGTAAATCAGAACTACTTGCAGAATTGAGTGACAATGATTTGTGGGGAAATTCGTCATCAGACACTGAAAACGATTTTGCGACTGAGCTCAGTAAAGTGCGAACTTGGCGCTCTATTTCAAATTTTAGTGTTTTTGGTTTGATTATATTATTGAATTAAATGTATTATTATATTATTATTTTTTATGATTATTTATTATATTATAATTTATGATTTTGTGTTTCAAATTTTATCATACCCGGGATGTTTACTAGACTCTTGTTCAGACAGATTTCAGTGAGATATTCCTAAGAATTACAGGCCTACATAAAAAAACAACATATTTCCATTGAAAACAATGTACTGCTTGAGCACAGACATACTGACATAATCAGACTGCTAGGGATTTAAGTTGCATTGTTACCAACACTGCAATTGCAACAGATGGTGGCATACACATGACCCAGAGCTTGATTCATTTGCATCATGGCTTAGTAAAGGTTATCCCCCACAGTCACATTTGGCAGGCAGTCAAACATAAGCAGGTTTTTAGGGGTTAAACAGGCAGTGAGGAGGAGGGGAAGACAGAAGAAGATTTAAAAATCACAATAGTAAACAAGTTGTAGTGACACAAAAATATCACTAGATGTCAACATACTACAAAAAAAAAAATAACAACCTTCTGCAGTTCAATACAATGCAGATAAGTTACTTGAAAGTGCGGAACAGCTTTTTTTTTTATCAGTTTACAGTTTAACCTAATTGCTTAGTTAAGAAAAAAAAATGCTGTTCATAAAGCTGTGTAGCTGCAGCTTAAATGACCCCTCCAAGTAAACGAATAAGAGCAGTGAGTCTGCAAATCCCATGTCATGGGCGCAAACTATATGAAATGTTTATTTGTAAGACAAAGGTTATATGTGTAAAACATCGAACAGTTTAACAAGGTGAACTTGAGATAAAAACCAGCATTTATACCAAAAGGCTTTATTCGTACATTAGATCCAATAGAGGTTTTATTTGTAAGGACAAAAACATGAGTGAGCGAACCCATTTTATTTTGTACTGCATGCTCACCTTTTAATCCAATTTCATTTTTCTGATATTCACCATAATCTGAGAACAATGAATGCCAGGCAGCAATGTCTTAAAACGTACAGTATATCATTTTTTCTTGTCATGCATTTCATTTGCCAAAGAGGGAGAAAAGTGTTTGTTGATATTTGCTAAGAACTTTTGTTCCCTTATCTGCCTGTGTCATTTGTAGAATTACTGTGAAACTGGAAAGGAATAATATTTAATATACATTGTAAAGAAACCGCATATCAGTTGTCATGAATAATGATTTCTAGCAATGTCTGAGTCAGGTGAATAGTTGAAGCATGACTTTTTATTTCAAATATTTTCATCTGTAATAATTACATCACTTCTCTATCTTGTAATATTGACCGTTTCACAGCACATTTTTTGCAATCTGTATGCGCTTCTGTATGCATATTTTTAAAGCTTTCCGGGGCCTTTTTAATGTGTTTTCAATGCGTTCCATTGCATTTTTTCCCATTTTGCCAAAGTTTCCTAGCTTTTCTCAGTGATGTGACTTTCATGCAAATTCCAGTGCGACTTGATGTGACTTCAATGCAGTTTGGATTCGACTTTGTTGTGACTTGCTTGTGACTTTGATGCGACTTGGTAGTGTGATTTGCTTGCAACTTTGATGAGACTTCAGTGCAACTTTGATGTTACTTTCATACAAGGGGCATTCAAGTCAAAACTTGACTTTTAATTTTACAGGTACAAAAAGGGATGCTAGCGTGGTGGTACTACATGCAGTAGTAAGTGGCAAGTGTGTCCTATTACTGACAGGCGGAGCACATGTCTTGGTCCAGTCCAGAGCCTGTTACCAACTCTGGCTCTGAGGAAGAGGTTGTGGCCTTGAAACGCGTTAGCCAGTTGGTCATCCAGGGTTCCATCATATGGACTCAGATGCTGCTTGGATTTATCATCCTATTCGGTGTAATATGCTTGTGTTTTATGTTCATTGTGAGTATAATACTTACCTTGTTCTTTCAATAAATATTTTAAACTATAATGCACTAGGTCGGTGAGCCCCTTTTTTTGTTTTTCTATTTGCATTCAGTGAAGTTGGACCTCCCCGGTCTGTTGAGGGCAGCCAGCAGTGCATATTTCAGAACATCCTTACTGGTTCCACCGAGTCCATTCCCAGTGCAGGAGAAAAGTGTTTTGCTGTGTTCAATCTTTCTATGCCAAAGCTTTCCAGGCATTAGTTAAATGCTGGGATAAGTGTATACATGTAGCAGGGCAGTATGTCAAAAAATGAATGCAGCTTCCACTCCTTGAAATTTGTCCTTTTATTATATAAACTCGAAACTCCTGGCTTGACTTGATGCCTCTCGTATTATACGTTCATACTTTTGGCCAATTATAACAATATCTAGTGTGACATAAATCCTTTTCTTTTACTTCCTGGTTTCTCTGTGTTGTGTGGCACATTGTGTCAAGCAATAAAAGAGAAAAATTCCCAGCTCAACTTACCGATCAAATTGAAACAAACCAAATTAACCTGTCTAACAGTATGCATTAAAAACAGGGGTTTAGTTAGCACACATTTGCAAACACATGCGTAAGCTGCAGAGCCTCATCACAGCACCCCGAAATTTTCCAGTTCCTAACTCTACAAATTGTGAGAGCCTCCATAGTAGAGGCACATGTATTTAATGGATAGACCAAGGACAGGTGGACCTGAGGGAACCCACCCCATCCTTAAACGCAGAGGAGCGCACTGGAAACCCAGCATGTACCACAGTAGCAGCCAAGGTTTCTTCTTAAACAAACCAAAAACCACTGAAAAGTTTGAAAAAAAAAGTTTTTTCTTAGTTTTTGTTATAAAATTTTGCAAATAAGTGATTTTTCTCCTTCACTGATGTGTGCTAATGAGGCTGCACTGATGGGCACTGATAGGCTGCACTGATGGACACTGATAGGTGGCACTGATGGGCACTGATGAGGAGGCACTGGTAGGTGGCACTGATGAGCATTGGCAGGCATCACTGATGGGCACTGAAAGGCAGCACTCAAATATGGCACTGATAGGCGGCACTGATATGTGGCACTGACTGGCACTGTTAGGCGGCACGGATAGGCAGCACTTACGGGCACTGATAGGCGGCACTGATGCACACTGATAGGTGGCACTGATATGTGGCACTGACTGGCACTGATAGGTGGCATTGGTTGGCAGCACTGATAGGTGGCACTGACTGGCATTGATAGGTGGCACTGACTGGCACTGATGGGTGACACTGAAAGGCAGCTCAGATGGGCACTGATATGTGGCATTGATGTGGCACTGATGGGCACTGAAATGTGGCACTGATGTGGCACTGATGGGCACTGGCAGGTGGCATGGATGAGCACTGAGAGCTGCCACTGATGGACACTGACAGGTGGCACTGCTGGGGCTACACAGATCATCAGGGCACACTGATCATCAGTGCTCTGATGATCTGTGTACATGTCCCCTCCGAGGAATGCCGATTACCGGCTCTCCTCTCCTCACGAGCGGTCAGCATGACTGCTCGTGGGGAGAGAAATGCCGATAACCAGCATTTCCCTGTTTATTTCCCTGATTGGACACAGCTGATCACATGACCGTGCCGTCATCTTCGGCTCTTTCCGTTGATCGCCGATCGCCACGCCGCGCTCCCAGAACGAGAGAACCGCCTTCCGTCCGTCATTTTACTATATGGCGGGCCGGAGGCGGTTAATGGATAAGTTCACCTTTGGGAACATGTTACATGTACCACCCGTTTTTAGGGTGGAACATGTAACATGTACCCATAGCAGCAGCCCCCTCCCTCTGACAGATAGTACGGGGAGAAGTCTCCCCGTGCTATCTACCGAAATTTGAAAACAGCGCAGCCATGCGGGGCTCCGCCCACATGGCCGCATCATTCATTCTCAGACTTCCACGTATGAATGAACTTCAAGTCCCGACAGCCTTAGCGGCTTTCGGCTTGTAGTTTTCAGTGAACTACCACGGTGCTGTGGAGCGCCGTGGTAGTTCACTGAAGCTTCCTGTCACAATATCTGTGTATAGGTAGGTTAGTGAGCGCACTCCAGTGAGTGGTAAATGCACTAAAAGGAACCACAAAACCTTTCCAACTGAAATTGACAAAATAAAAATGTGACCTGCACATGCGCATTGAGATTGCGTTTCTGGTAAGTGGGCAATCTACCTACTCCTCGATATTGGATTGGATTACACCAGCGTTGTTGGAAGTTTTTTCATAATTAAACTGCTTACCACATCTGATACTATTGCATTGGACAATTACCTTTTTTCGAGAGTCATTTTAACATAACTACCATAAGGATATTGTTTGTAGCGCTGCACTTTTATTTTGTCAATCACTGTCACAATATCTGCTTGCTCGTACATCCCATAAGTTCACCTTTGGGAACATGTTACATGTTCCACCCATTTTTAGGGTTGACCATGTAACATGCTCCCACAGCTGCAGGCGGGGAGAAGTTTCCCCGTACTATCTGTCAGATTTGAAAACAGCAAGCAACAAAAGAAAGCAAAAAAAAAGCCATCATCAATCACATCATCCAACAATGTAGATCCATGTCAGTCACAAGGAACAAGACGTTCAGCAGGAATTACTCATCATGACTGACACGAATTATCCACTTTTTTATGTGCCATTTTACTATATATCACTTACTCATTGTCATGGGGGTTTATATTTGAGAGTCCCCTTATTATAAAGGGGGCTCCAAATTATGATAAGCCTTCCCCGACTGCAGACCCCCACATCCACCAACTGGGGGATGTGTGTAAAAGACTTTTGTTCCCATCAACATCAATATTGCTGAGTTGACCAAAGACATATTCTGCAAAGAACAGTTGGATATGCATTAGACAACAGTATCTTCAGAGGACTTGGCAGTCACTGTAGAAATTGCCCAATGTGGGATCTTTAGCTATAGTTATACATGTGAGGTGGCATCCCTCCTTAACTTAAAGGGGCCTCAATAGGATACCTCTGGTCAGAAGGTTAGCCATAATGACACATGTAAAATGGAAGGTGTGACTCACTGACACACATATTTCAGTACATACTTCTACTCAGGGGCGGACTGACAACTCATGGGGCCCCCGGGCAATAGGGGATCATGGGGCCCCTGTGTCCTTGCCCAAACTCAAAAAAGCCTATGAAAAAGGTACCAGGGGCATCTCATGGGGCCCCCTACTGACCCCGGGTCCTCAGGCTATGCCCGAGTTTCCAAATGGTCAGTCCGCCCCTGCTTCTACTAGGTGGCCCTCCAATCTCACTCCCCACAAAGGTGAGAGAATTTTCCTTCCGTTTCCACATACAAACACTACCATATTGGATGACTGGACGCCCTGACATATTGGATGACTGTCTGGCACAAGTTCCATTCTCTTCACAGTAAGCCAGACTGCCCTGAGTTCCATTCTATCACAGTTTGGCAAACTTAAAAGAAGTTTGAAAGCCAAGTCCGAACCCCATTGAAATCCATTGTCAGTCAAGATGACCGCACTCACTAACTCACAGAAATAAATTGGACCTGGCACACATGACTGATCCAAATAATACTACTAGGGAAGATGCAGGGATAGTGTTGACAGCATTGCCCAGATATTGCCATGGCCATATTTAGGCAGTATTATTGCCCAAATATGGCTATATGGCCATATTTAAGCAATGATATAACCCCTCCAATCCTCACCCATGTGCTTACATAGCCAGAGATTTACAGCCAGTGAAGTGTAAGTGGATGGGGCTGATGACATAAGTAGTTGATAAGGACATGATGGGTGCACGTCCCTGCTGCTTCCATAGCCACCATTGACAGCTGGAAGCTTTCATGCTCATTCAGACTGAATGCCCTAAACATCCAAACAGCCAGTGTATGGTCCAAACTTGGTTCCAAACATTGAGCTCATAACTAGTCTTCCATAATCATGAATCTCAGTTTGGTGCAAACACATCAATGTGGCATCTTCTGCAACCAAATTTTAATCCTTTCTTCAATCTAGTTAGACCCTGAGAGAACATAATGTTTGTCCCATGTTTCCCCAGAAAGAGAGAACCCTCTTAGTGTTCACAAGGCAAGGTTTATGTGTGTCTAAGTCAGTGTTTTTCAAACTTTCTTCAGTCAAGGCACCCTTTTAAATTATGGACAGTCCCGAGGCACCCCATTCTAAACTGGGGTGCCTCAAGACTGTCCATAATTTTAAAAGGGCATCCCATTCTAAAATGTGAAAAACTATTCTAATAGTTTTATATACCACAGCAACATTCACACATGTAGGACACCTAACATTAGAGGTGATTTATTCTTCCAAAGCAAATACACTTTTGCTCACTGGTACTTAGTAGTATTTCACCGCTTCTCTTCTTCCTCAGTTTTTCTCCATCACTGAGCTAATGTGATCCCAGAACTGATGGAGAGCAGCAGGGGAAGGTCAAGTTAGGATGCTGTGCAGGCAGCTGAGTTGTGTAAATAAAAGGCAGGCTTGTTTCACTCACTGGCTTGTAAACAAGTTTTGGGCAATTTTTAGACATATTGCCAGGGCACCCGAAGAAACCTCAAGGCACCCCAGGGTGCTGGGCACCCTGGTTGAGAAAGGCTGTTCTAAAGTTACAGAAACTGGGTCCTCCCTTTCTTACTGCCCATATGGAATTCCTCCTCTACTTAGCAACCAGTGTCCTTTTTCTAATTACAGTAGACAAAGATTTCCTCCAGTTATAGAATAGGACCTCAGTTCTACACTTTGGTGGGAAGAAAGTGACCAAAAACCTGTTAGCCCCCTTACAAACAGAAAGCCCCTCAAGGCGTGTCTAGCTTTAGGGAACTGCATTCAGTACAAGAAAATTTGAGAAACTACAGGTGGTGGCTTATTGTACCAGGTGGCATTTAAAGAATAATTCTTTTTTTGTAAGCCTGAGAATTTGTGTAAGGAAACAATCCAGGCACTTTACATTTTTATGAAGTACCTGGTCATTGGAGGTAATGGTGTATGTATAATTGTATTTGTGTTCATAATGACAGCGTATATCAAAATGAAATGTGGATCATTTCCTTTGCCACCTCAGAGGGAATGCAAATACAATAAACATATAACTTATCTGAATAACTTCAGTTAATTGCAAAACTCAGGAGCGTCTAGAAAATGAAAGCCAACATTTATAATTCATGACAGATACATAAATATGATACAACCACAGTACCAAAATTGTAAGATATCATTTTAAAATACTGGCTTTGTCTGAATTGCTACCTCTTATTGCAGAACAATCTCCTGATGAGAATTGTATTTTTTTTTGTAAATGAGGATGGTGACTCATCCCAATAACAGCTCCATCATGTCAGCACAGTGTAATCGTGCGGTGAAACACATTTCAAGAGATATAAATGGACTTCTGCAAGTTTCTGCCAGCGTTTCTGAATTAACTTATTTATGTAGCCACCTCAGAGACAGTTGCTGTGCTACCTGTTGAGTAGTGTTCAATTTTTTCACTTTGCAAAATTGACATTTTAATTTGTTATGTGGATGCAATTGTGTACTGTTTCACATAGACTATTTCTGGCCACTAGAAGGCAATCTATTCTCAACAACAGATTAATATAGTTCAATCTACTTCAGACTATCCCAAAATGGCCAGCACAATTTACTTCTATAAAATAGCTACAGAGATGAGGGACACATGCTAGCCTGAAGTGTGGATATAACATCAGAGGGAGAGATGTTTTGCAGTCTGAGGGAAAGGAGATCAGTGAGATAAACTTTTGAGAGCTGACACAGACTTCAGGTGGATATCCTGCTAAATTATTTATTTCAGGTACTTATATAGCACTGTCAATTTACACAGCGCTTTGATTGTACATTCACATCAGTCCCTAACCCTCAAGGGGTGTACAATCTAAGGTCCCTAACTCACATTCATACATATACTAGGGCTAATTCAGACAGGAATCAAATTCACCTACCAGCATGTCTTTGGAGTGTGGGAGGAAACCAGAGTACCCAGAGGAAACCCACACAAGCACAGGGAGAACATGCAAACTCCATGCAGGAGGTGCCATGGTCAGGAATCAAACCCATGACCCATTTACTGCAAGGCAGACATGCTAACCATTAAGCCATTGTGCCACTTAATGGTTAGCATGTCTGATTTCTGTTGTACAGTGTCTATAGACCAGTAAAGACAAGCTGGAGTGGATTCCACCTGTTTCTTCTGTTTGCCTAAGAAGACTGATGAAAGTTGATGGCTGTATTGTAAGTGTCACATGGTCTCAGCAGAGAAGTTCCTTGTGCTACAATGACTCTCTAAGATTTCTATAACCAATTTACTTTGCTACAATACACTACTGCTGTGTCTTTAGCTCATCAGGAGATCATGTGCTAAACTGTTTGCTACATAAAGAAGATAAATACAAACAGTTTTTCCTACATAGGTA